TGATTGCCGATGCTCCTTGCCAGCTTCCCACAAGCAAAGTCAGTGGGAAAGCCAGCAGGAAGTTGCAAGTCCAAGGCCAGCAGATAGGTAAGTGGCTGCTGCCGGGTGGGGGAGGGAGTGAGGAGGTGCACAAGAGGTGTGGTGAGGGTTGGAGAGGGTGCACGATAGTGCGAGGGGATGCCCGAGGTGTGGCATGTATCAGGGAGGGTGCCTAAGAGTGCAGTGCAGGTCAGGGAGTGTGCGCGTCAGGAAGGGTGTGTAGGAATGTGCTATGGGTCAGGGAGGGTGCATGGCGGTATGGGAGGAAGGGAGGAAGGAAGGCTTCCCACAAGGAAAGTCAATGGGGAAACTGGAGAGAAGTCAGAAGTTGCTCCCACTCCCACTGCTTTTTTGCCTGCCCATGGTCATTCTGTTTCTCTCTTTAGGTAAGGAAATATCTCTGAAACATGAACCCAGTGGGTCATGGTTGTCTAGTATTGTACTAAATGTTTCTGTCAAACCTTGAAAGCACAATTTCTTGAAAAAAGAAAAGCAAGTTTCTTGCCTTAAATAATGGCAGCCAGATCTTCTGGAATGGAGAAGCCCTGAGAAGTGGCTTGCTGGTTTAGAGAGCTCTGTGAACCTCAAGAATGCTTTAAAAAAATTAGTCACTCCCCCAGAAAGTACAACTCTATTTTATCCTGTTTCTTGCTGGATCTATATCTATAGGTTGGGAAGAAGTCAGGATTACAAACTGAGAATTAATGACATTTGGACTTCAAAAGACTTCATTTTATTCCAACTATATTTTATTTTTCTCTCTTACAACCCTCTTGCTGATAACGTTTAATAGTCCAGTCTTCAGCTAATTCACCTGTTCTGGTATCAGTGCTGCTCCTTAATAGAACAAGTCAGCACTTCAAAGGAGGTAACATTCCTTGCTGTAGAGAATTTTTCTGCCTTTCTCTTTGGTTAACTTTTGTTATTTACGTTCCTTAATGGACCTATTCGCTTTAACTTGTTTATATGTAGATTTCCATCTTTGTCCATGTCTCTTGATGCAAAAATATGATCTGTGCTAATAATGAAATTATTCTTTGTATAGATTAAATACTTGTCATGATTTCTCAGGTAACTTCAGATGTATTAGTTATCAGTAGGGCTGTGATTACTAAAAAATGATTCAGAAGAAGTGCTTTGGAACTGGTACAAGAGCAGTATTATTCAGAAAGCAGCCCATTTCCTCCCTCCCCCAGATTTCCATGCAAGCCTCAGAGATAGAGGATGCTGCTTTAAGGAGGCAACTCAAATTAATGTGATTCTTAAAGCAGCCAAAATTCTTTTTCAGGGTTGCAGGAAAGCCTTTAAAATGTTAAATTGCTTTTACAAATAGCAGAGAGATGCTGTGCTTGCGTGAGGTCGAAAGCATTTTTTGAAAATCATTTCTGAGGTGTGGACAGACCCAGTTGTTAGTATAATTACCCCTTTAGATTAAAAAAAAAAGTTTTCCAATGCCAGGTATTAGGAAATTTTATCCATGGTACCCACCATGATATTATTTGGCGTGTACCAATAGTTTCATTCTCGTCCCTTTCATGATATCACCCAGCCCATGGTCCAAGAAAAGATTCTAGCATGTGTTCTATATAAGCTAAGATAATTTAGGGAATTCATAGCTAATTTGAGAAAAGGGTGTGTATCAAACTTCTCTTTCAAGTAAATAATTTACCTTCCTGTTAAAATTTCTAGAGGTGTAGCTATGTTAATTTGGGGCACAAAAAATGAATCCTGGTGCATCTTAACCCCCATGAGTCATAAGAATCAGAAGTATATCAATCAGAAAAACCTGAAAGGAAACAATAGCAGCTGTTGTGAGGGTGGGGGAACTGGAAGCAGGAAAAGAAGTGAAGAAACTGGTGCCTTCCAGGGGAGGCATGGCAACCTAAGCACGTAAAGCACTTCCAGCCATCATAAATTGTCATGCTGCCCCCCCCCCACAATCACGTGATCGCCATTTGCAATCTTCTCTGCCGGATTCCCCAGAAAGTCAATGGGGAAGCCAGCAGGGAAGGTTGCAAGCAGAGGGGACGGAGGGAAACCTCTCAGTAGTGTGCAGGAACAGAGCTCAAATCCTGAAGATTTGAGCTCTGTTCCTCCAGTCCCACGACGGATTTCCCGTCTGTGCATGGAGGGGAGGGCAAACCCTTTGGTGGGCTGCAGGAACATTTGAGAGCAAAAGGGCTGTCTGCCAGGAGGATTTCAGCTCTGCGCGGAGCTGAAACCGTCCAGCAGGCAGCTCTTTCTCTCTGTCCACGTAATGACCCAGAAAATCACTTAACTACCGCAACCAGGAGTGCCCAGATTGTGGCTGTTGAGCAAAGCAGTTATGTGAGCATCTCACTTAACAACCACTTCACTCAGTGATCAAGACTCTGGTCTTAATTGTGGTTGTTAGGCAAGGACTACCTGTAAAGGGCAAAAAGCTAAATAAGAGTTTGATCTTAAAAAGTTATAAACAATTTAAGGGTCCAGACAAATTCAGAATAGTGAGACTTTTACTATAAGATTTTGGAAATAATTATATAAAACAAACAGCTTTTCATGGGAACCAAACTGTTTTGTTTCTCTAAAGTCATAGCAGAGATAGGAGACTTTATGATTTCAAAAACTGGACACTAGAAGGGACTAAAGACTCCAGGCAGAAAAGGAAAAGGGAAAAAAAAGTGTAAACTTCCCTTTGGTTTTTGATTAGTATGGAGATTTACAAAATGACACAAAATGTTATAACATTTAAAATATTCCAGAATTTTGAAGAATGGGGTCAGAACTTAGCAGATACAACATCAGTAATGTCAGCAATGATGTCTGCTTCTATCAATAGACTATATCCAAAAAATGTTAATGAAGGAAAGACAGATGTGAAACAAATTTTGCCTGATGCAGAAACATTAGAACTAGAAATACTGAATAATAAAAAAAAAAATGTGGATTATAAGACAGAAAAGGCAGCTAAAGTGGAAACACAAATAACAAACTGAGAGAATGACCCGGATAAGGACTTTCTACTGGATATACAAAAGAAGTTGGTTAAAGCCTTGAAAATCAAAGTGGAAATACCAACGATAAACTAAGAGAATGACTTGGATAATGACTTTTTACTGGATTTACAAAAGAGGTTTGGTAAAGCCTCAAAGAAGCCTTTGGGATGAGAAAAAGAAAAAATGAGATGGACCAAATCCTACAACATCTGAATGAATTAAAGATCAAAACTATCAGAAGTAAAAAGAAGGAATGTAAGGTTTGTTTGTTTGACCATGGTTAAAACAAGACATGTTTCTGTAAAGCTCTGGTTACCCTTTTTGGACTTTTTGCTGACACCAGGACTGAAAAATTGATGATTTATGGATTTGCATATAGATAAGGGATGGGTTATGGGAAGAAGAGAGATTTGTTTGTAACATTATAGGGGGTGAAGAGTTATTAAGTTTGTTTATACTTGTTATACTTGTTGTGATGAAGAAGTCACTTACTTATATATATTTTTTCTTTGCATTTTTTACTCTAGCTTTCTATCTCTCCGCTCTCTGAGTTTAGTTTGTATTTGCTTTTACTACTGTAATTAAAATCTTCAATATAAATTTATATTGAATTATAAATTATACAATTAAAATTACATAAAACAAAAGAAGTGAAGAAACTGATAAGAGGGGACATTAAAAAAATAGAGAGAGGCAGAATTGACTTAGATCATAAATGAAGTGTCAATAACAACAAGGTATTTTTTCTAGAAATATTTTTTTTTTACAATTACAACGATGAAGAGGTTTGTGGCACTTGAAAACACAGTTCATCTGCTCTCATACAGGTAACCATTATTTGGAGGGAGAGTGGAGAGAAGAATGGTGAAAGTAAAAATGAGAGATGGGATTGTTCTTTTCTTAACACTCCTCTTTATCCTTTTCTTCCTCTCCTCCACCCTTAAGTCTTGATTTATGTGCCATTAAGTTGGTGTCAACTCTTAGCAACCAAATAGATATCACAATCTGTCCCCAACCTGGTCTTTTAGGACTTCCAACAGTGCAGCCATCTCCACTGTAATTTAGTCCATCCACCTTTCCACCCCCAAGTAACTCTGTGCTTATTTAAGGTTTCTTGTCCCAAGGCCACAAACAATTGACCAAAACAGTTTTTGAACTGATTTTTTTTAAAAGGAGGACACGTAGGAGTCCATTTGAAAGGGGCAGTTGCCCATGGTGATGTTAAGAGAGAAGATACATCTGTTCTTTTTGATCCATGGTGTGTGATGTCTTACATAATGAACTGGTTTAGTGATCCATTTTATTCCAAGTCTTAAACTAATGCAAACAACAATGAGGCTTTATAAAGGAACACTTATTGTAGACTTCTACAATATCCAACCAAAAGGGCTTTTCTTTACACAAAAAGGTATAAGGCAATGGCCTTTGGCATTTGTAAAATTCAGAAAAAAGTGAACTATGTATTAGATTATCTGGGACACTATCAGTTTTACCTGGGATATACCAGTTTAATTATTTTCCTGCGTAATCTGGAAGATTTGTCTTTGAATATCTTTTTATTATTGTTAGTAACTTGCCTACAAGCTTATGCCTGAGACACAGTTCACCTTAAAGTGAATTTCAGTAACTATTGTAGAAGCCATAGGAAAAGTAGTCATCATGGGAGGAAAGCATCTGGTATTCAGTGTAATAATACAAAGAAGCAATGCTTTTACTCTGTAGGTAACTTTTGCATAGTAACTAAATGGGAAATACCACTGCAGGATTCCATTCAGCTGTGTAAGTTCTGGAATGCCTTCACATAAATCCATGCACATCCTAAAGAAAGTGGAAGTTAATAGTTTTTAAAAAAAGAACTCGCAAAGCATAGTAAAATTCCCAAGCAATTTAAAAATGCATTGGAACCAAAACCACTGAAATAATATCCTAAATATTTAAAGAATACATTTAAAAGTTTATAGTTTCCTGACAGAAATATTGTACCTGTGCCCTTGTGTGAACTTCCCCAAGGAGTCCAGAATATTGCTGTTCCAAGTCCTTCTTCTGCTTTAACCAGCAGCTTTCCTGAGCTTTCATCTGTTCTGCAACTTTGTTCAAAGTGTCTTCCTGGGTCTGTTGAATCTCCCTCATTGTATCTGACTTATTTTTACAAACATATTCAAGGTGTGATATCTGCATGATTGGCATTAAAAAAAATTCTTTTAATGTATATACACAGTTCTATTTTAACATAGGACGCTTAATAATATATTCAGGATACTGTAACTAATCCCATAACCCACAAGGAATTATGTACCACTTCTTAAAATGAAAACCTACCAGTCAAATTGCTACAGCCTGTGACCTGGATCATCTACTATCTATACTTTACTACCCCTTCTAACACTGAAGATTTTAGTACCAAGTTTCTGTACCAGTCCACCTATTTTTAATGCAACATGAATCTGAAAGTGAGCACAGCAGTTGGCTTTTCCCAGTATGCAATTCTTGACCTCTTTCTTGGTGAGTTATTGGTTTTGTTGTCAGTAACTCCTGCTACAGCTTAAAAAGAGTTGTGCCTCAGGTTAAAAAAACAACCTAATTAGTAATATGCTGTTCTTTTAAAACAGAAACTATATAAAGCAGGTAATAATGTTATCCAAACAGTACAGGTATTCCTCAACTTATGATGGCAACTGGAACCGGAATTTCTATCGCTAAGCGATGCAGTTGTAAAGTGTGACTGCATCACTTAGTGACAGCAATACCTGCAGTCCTGGTTGCAGTCATTAACTGAATCCCACAGTCGTCAGGTGAGGCAACTTCCTGCTGGCTTCCCACAAAAAAAGTCAGTAGGGAAGCCAGCAGGAAGTTGCAAGTATCAGGCCCACAAGTAGGTAAGTGGCTGCTGTCAGGTGGGGGAGTGAGTGAGGGGGTGGGCAGGGGTGTGGAGGAAGGTTGGGGAGGATGTGCAAGAGGCATAGGGCAGGGAGGGTGCACGAGGGTTTGGAGGACTGCGTGAGAGGCACCACACGGGTCAGGGAGATTGTGCAGGGGTGCAAGAGAGGCACCACGCGGGTCAGGAGGGTGCATGGGTGTGTGCAAGAGGCACCATACAGGTGAGAGAGGGTGCATGAGGGTGCAAAGGGGTGCGCAAGAGGAGCTGTACAGGTCAGGGAGGGTGTGCAAAGCTGTATGTGAGAGGCACTATGTGGGTCAGGGAGGATGCACAGGGGTGTGCAAGAGGCGCTGTATGGGTCAGGGAGGGTATGCAAGGGTGCGCGTGAGAGGTGCTATGTGGGTCGGGGAAGGTGCACAAGAGGTGCTGCGCAGGTTAGGAAGGGTGCATGAGGGGGTGAGGGGGGGTGTAAGGGGCAGCGCACAGCTCAGGAAGGGTCAAGGAGGGCGCGTAGAGTATGCGAGAGGCGCCGCACTGGTCAGGAAGGATGCAAAAAGGTGTGCAAGAAGCGCTGCATGGGTCAGGAGAGTGTGCAGGGGTGCGGCATGTGTCAGGGAGGGTGTGCAGGGGTGTGCAAGTGGCTGGCACAACACAAACACAAAGGGGCTGGGGGAGGGTGAGCAGGTGGGAGATACTTACCCCAGCAACTTGCAATCTTCCCTGCTGGCTTCCCTTCTGACTTTCTGCGGAAGCTGACGTGGAAGGTTGCAAATGGCAATCATGTGATTGCGGGGCGCTTGGCAACCAGTCGTAAGTGCAAATGGGTGCCAAGCACCTAGATCGTGATCACGTGATCGCGGGGGTGCTGGGACAGCCAGAACTCCAAGGACTGGTTGTAACCACCATTCATCTAGTGCCATCGTAACTTTGAACGGCCGCTGAACAAATGGTCATAAGTAGAGGATTACCTGTAATACATTTGTGTAGTAAAGCAGCCCCTTTGCTTATTGTTGAGGAGCTGTTGAGAGATTGTTGAGGGGTTGTTGCTGGGTTGTTGTCTGTCTTAAATATCACATTGTTTAAAGTTTGTTCCAAAACTAGATGCTGCCACGAAACAAGAGTTTTCATGGGGAAAGGACTGGCACTCAGCTAAACTATACAAATAGTTTGTACTGGGAACAGAAGAAACTTTTCCAACAAAATGGTGCTAATGATTAATGTGCTAATGTCAATTTTTAAAGGGTATCAAAAAAGCAATTTTCATATGGATAATTCAGAGGCCTTCAAAACAAAGACCTAGACTCTTTTAAGCAGGCAGTCAATACCATATTATTTTGGTAGGCTTTTTAAAGGCTTGCTGGTTTAATGATTTCATTTGCCTTTGTGCCTCTAATTTTATTTCCACTGTTTATTTCCAGTGTTAAAAACTTAATTGAATTCTACTTTATTAATCTAACAGGACTAAAAATCACACTAAAAAAAAAAAA